CCGAACGGCCAAACGATCGACAATCTGTATTTCCGGAACTCGCCCCATTCCGCGCAGCTCAACTTCCGGTTTTTGCCCCCCGGGAAGCAGGTCGTCGCCCAGAATAAGGATCGTAGCCAGCAGCAAGTGAACTTCCAGCGGCCCCTGTACTGGAAGATCGGGCTGGCGGTAGACGACGTCGATGACTGTTTGAGGACCGGTATCCTGAGTAAAAGCGTCCCCATCCCAGAGTCAAGATGGGGATTTCGCAACACAAACCTAGAGGCTTTGGCTGTTTTGCATGACAAATTTGGACTCGTAGTGTAGTGCTGTTTGAGGCAGTGGCGACGCATCACAAATCGACTACCTTTGCGTGATTCCAGCATCACAAACTTCCAGATAGCATTAGAAAATGGCTTTACTGTGTCTGCGCATGAGAAACATTTTAGGCATGCCACTTTGCATGACAAGTGTGGGGTCGTGGGGACGTTTTTGCAAACAATAATCGGTTTGGGCAAGAAAAACGCGAAGGGCGAGCAGTTTTTGAACGTCGGCTACTTGGAGCACATCGCGGATCCGGTCGGCTTTCCGATTGAGCTACTCCAAACGAGTTTCGAAGGGAACACTGCCACGAAAAAGAAACGGATCGAGAAAGCGGAAGAGAAGCTGCAGTCGAGCGGACTTCGTGCGCGGAACCCGTTAACGCGCATGCTGGACCCGGTGATCGGGCAAGTCACCACCCGGACGAAAGATGCGAATTTGTGTGTGAAGTTTTACACGGAGGTGCTGGGCATGACCTTATTGGAGAAACAGGAAGTTTCGCCGTACAACTTCGACCTGTATTTCTTTGCCTATTTGACGGAGGAAATGAAGCAAAAAGTTCCGGACTTTAGCAAAATTGGTACTATGGAGAGCAAAATCCAAGCGCAAAGAGAGTGGTTGTACCAGTTACCCGTTACAACGTTGGAAATCCAGCACATGCGGAATATGGACCGAAACGCACCCGTGCTCGCCGGCCCGGATGATTTGAGCCCGGAGAAGCCCGCTTTTGAATCCATCTCCATCGGCGTCTCCCCCGCGCAGTTTCGCAAGATCTCGACTTCGCCCACGTTCGACCCGGTGTTGCGCTGCGTTCGGGATCCGGACGGCTTGGTGGTGCAATTGACAATTCTGGAGTCCAAGATGGGCAGTGGGCACGGGGTTGTTTCGCACGGGGTGCACGCGCACGCGGTGGCGATGACTACGATGGAGGTGGACGAGGAGGAAAGGAAGAATAAGGCAAAAGCTGCTGGAGGGACCACCACCAAGCCGCCCCGACTGACGCGCACGAATTCCGGCGGCGGGGGTTCATCTGCTCTCGCCCGCTCGAACTCTGGTTCGCCGGCTTCTATCAAGCCTTCGAATACTACTAGTGGTTTTTCGCCGAAAGTTCGCCCCTCCGCCGCGGCGGCCATGATGTCGACGAGTGCAACTGCAGGTAACTCATCATCAAACCTTATCCCCGGCCCGTCTTCGGAAAACAAAAAGCTTCTGGACAAGTCCAACGGGCGGCAGACGTGGTCGGAAGTGCAGCGGGTGGACATCGAGCCGCTGAAATCTGTGCCGAAGGGGTCGCCGCGGCCGCATTACACTCAGGCGAACAAGTTTGCGGAGAAATTCGATAAGGAGCTGTCGCATCCGACGCTGAAGTTGATCCAGTTCCCGTGTCTAAGTGACAACTACGGGTACTTGTTGTATGTTCCAGAGCAAGAACCTACTTCGGGCAGCACCATCAACAGCCCAAATAGTCGCCGCTTGAGCCAGACCAGCCAGGCCGCGCGCGTGATCGCCATCGACTTGCCGCAGGGGCACGGCCTGGAGTACTGCCAGCGCGCAAAGGAGGAATTTGGCTCCGTCATCACAGACGTGCTCATCACCCACTGGCACTGGGATCACCTGGGCGCGTGGAACGAGATTGCGGCGGACAACTTCAAAGCGAACAATAACCACCGGCCGCGGATGTACGCGTCGCGGATCGAGCTGCCGAATTTGAAAAAATTCGCGGAAGAGTCGGACTTCTCCGAGCTCTGCAAGCACGGTATGACAGTGCACAACCCCCCCCCAGCCCCTCATTTGTCATGCAAAATACCCAATCCACCCTTTTTTGCCTCTTGGCACTGTTTGCATGACAAGTTCTGGCAGCCCAAATGGCACTACACTCCATATGCTAATTTGTCATGCGCAACCGGCATTCTTGCTGATGCTTGTATTGCCGGTCATGCTATACAAATGAGGGGGAGGGGGAGTTGTGCACTGTCATACACGGGGAACACTTGAACCTCGGGCCGCTGGACTTCGAGATTATCCACGTTCCGGGGCATACGTTAGGGCAGATCGGGTTCTTTTTGAAATCCTACGGGATCGTGTTCACCGGTGACATCGTCTTTCCGATGGGCTGCGGCAGGCTCTTTGAGGGCGACGCAGCGGACTGCTACAGGTACTTTTACTACGTCTGCGGTGAACTTGCGTGTATCGTTGTACACAGATGTTCATCTTACTTCTTGTTGCTACATTTAGTCAACATCTCCCACATCATAATTCTCACTTGGCTAGAGGTCAAGAACATCCTCTGTGCAATTGCGGTTTGTGGTGTTGTGTCGGCTTGCTACGCCAGCAGTTAGCGTTGCGGTTGCCGGCGGGGGAGCTTTCAAAAAATTGAAAATATTTATAGAAACAATATACCGCAGGGCCCTGAAGCAGCGGCTGATGGACCATATTCCGAAATCCACGCTGATCTATTGTGCCCACGAGTACGCCACGGACGGGTGTCAGTTCGCTCTCGCGCTGGTGGAGAAGTCGGACCAGAGCCGGCAAGCAGTGATCGACCGGTGCAAGAAAATCGTGGACTTGCGCAAGGACAAAATCCCCACAGTCCCCTTCACCGCGGAGGTATCCAAGAAAAAAACTGTGTTAGTGTAACTTTCTTGGAGGAATAGCATCACAAATTTGCTTCACATGACAGAGAGAGCCTGTCATGCGCGGCTAGTACGTGAAAACACGCACGAAAAGAGCTTCTGATGCATGTCCAGCATGACAAGTGTAACTATTTTGCATTTTCTGCATCACAGACTTACACTTACACAGTTTTTTTCTTGCATAGGAGGAGGAGTTATTGACGTCGCCTTTTCTCCGCGTGCAGCAGTTTTCGAAAAAGTTAGGGGAGTCCAAGGAAGAGGAAATTTTCCGGCAGTTAAGGTCCGTCCGCAACGATTTCAAGTGCAGTAAACCGTGGAAGATGGCAGACTTTGAAAAAACGTTGCAAAGCGGGGAAAGGTGGAGTGACGGGGAGAGTAGTCCGAAAAGGCTGAAGCTGCCTACGGCTAAGCACTGAAGGTGAAAACGATGAAAGAGTGGGTGAGATTTCTTTGTTTCCAGGAAGATGCACAGATGAACAAAAGTTCTCGTAGTTCCCGGCGGAATCGACGAGCTACTACATTTTCGGAGATGTTGCAGTTTTTGATGTTCTTAAGGACCCGCGAAAATAAAGACCTCCATTGTGCGGTTTTCTGTTTCGGCGGAAAGAGTAGAAACGTCCATGTCGCCTTGGGGGTGTGCGAGGCGAATGATAATGAAGATCAACAAGACGTCGTGTATAATAATCTCCCGGGAAAAGTTTCGAGCAGCAGCAGTCATGATACGGCGGGAACGACCGTGAAATGTGTTGCTGACACACGGATTTTGTTCCTGATAGTACAACGTACGAATAAAAAAAACAAGCTCATATATTGCTGCAGGGAATTTTTTTTTTCAAATTTCGAGAACCTTCTGGTTCTGGCATGATATTCTTTAGATTTTTAGCGTTCCAGCACCACATTTGTATGATTTTAGAAAACTTCTTCTTTTTTCCACACTCGAGTGGTAGAATCCAAAACGCGCGAGAGAATCCAGTCTCTTCTCCATTTTGGTCGCGACGAGAGTCTGGAAACTGGTGAGAATGATGAATACACGCCAAAAAACTAGAAAGAGAGACGAAGTTTTCTGATGGCTCCGGAACTGTATGATTTAACTGAGGAGCAACGATGGCGCAAAGACTGTGAATGACGACTCAAAATTGTCGCGAATTGATTCGTTTTTAAGTCTGAGATCAAAAAATAGTAGGTGCGGAGTTTTTGAGCGTGTTCGGAATAAGACTGCCCGGAAGATGGCTTCGTCGTAGTTGTAAGCGGTGACGCTTTTGTTCGCGAGGTGGCGGGGCCTCTGCGGCCTGGTTACGCACCTAGTACATAGGGCAGCCGCGGCGTGGCGGTTCGTCGCCGGCCGGGCACGCGGGCGCTGTTTCTCCGGGGGCTGGCGCTGGGGTCTAGCGTACTACGCGAGGGCGCGCAGTCAGGCCGCGGGGCGATTCGCTCGCGCGCGCGAGGCAGCTTCGCAGGGGGGTTTTGCACGCGATGCCGCATGCCCCGGCCGCTGCAGTGTGCTTTTGATCAGCCGACTTTGATCAGTGCCGCACCCGCGCCCTCTTATTTTGCGCCCCGGCCGGGCCGTTCCTGATTGGAAACAACAGCGGGCGCCCGGCCCATCGTAAGGGGCGGCGATTTCGGCGCCCCCCCCGCCGGGTCGCCCATATCCCACCCTGGATCGGGCGGCCCGCTGGATTGAGGGGCGGCCGCGGCGATTGCCGCCGGCCGCCCGTGCGATGCCCCCGGGTGTCGGGTGGGGCGGCTGGGCCCTTGCGCCCCCCTTTGATTGCCGTGTGTGGCGCTGCCCCTTGTCTGGGTTTGATTGTGTTTGTTGCCATCCCCTCGCCCCGATTGATTCGCGCCGGGCGTCGTAGGAGCGACCGAGGCGGCCTGCAAGCCCTGCAGGCCAGCGTAGGCGTTTGCGCGGGGCCGTTGAATGCTTGCCGCTGCGCGCGCCACTGACTGACTTGTGTTCGCGCGCTGCCTGACGGGGCAGCCGACACCAGCTTGATCTGTGCGCACAGGAGAAGTGGTACAAAGATGAAGCGCAGTGACGATGGCGAACGCCGACTGCGCGGATTGATTGCTGGATGTGAGCCACCGCACACACACAGCATGTCACGTCGTCTGGCATGAGCTTTGTGCTCGTTGGTTCTGTTTGTGATCCGTGAGCGAGCAGTTGAATGAACCTAGGCGGAGAGCAGGGGGCGTGCGAGCAATTCAATAGCTGTGACGAACAATAGGAGAGTGGCGTCAGGGCTAGATGTTGGCGCGAGAACGCCCGTCGTTGTATTCGCTTCTACAAGCAGTTTTCTACTACCAATGTCACGGAAGTGCATTCTTGCCTTTGCCGCATCTTCTTTTCCGAGTTCATCAAGTTGGTCTTGGTTTTTCGTACTGTCTTTCAAGTGAAACAATTACACTAGATGAATGAAATAAGCTGTAGCACCATCTATCACGATGCGCGGCCCCACCTTCCTGGCCACTCTACAACTGCTTGCTACATCGTGCAGCCCCGCTTCCGCTGCCGAGCCCGTCCACCCGCTGACCTTCAAGAACAGCTGCGCAAGCTCCCCCCTCAAGCTCCTCTTCATTCCCGAGAACTACCCGAAGGAAAAGCCCGTCCCGATCGAAACGATTTTTCCCGGCGCCGTTGCCTCCCAGGACACCTTTGAAGGGCACATCTTTCGCGTTACAACGAGAAGCACAGATGATGGGTGGAAGGAAGAGGAGGAGAAGCGGCCGACAAAAATCAAGGACACTTTCCACGTCACGGTGAAGCAGGGTGCGAAAAGCGGCGCCGTGGTCTGTACCTGTGCCGGCGGTGGAGCTAGTACAACCATCGAGGAGGTGGAGAATCAAAGCGACAACGCCATCCATTGCGATGTCAACTGGGTGGACCGGCCGACGGAAGAGCAGTTTTTCGCTGGGGAAAAATGGGAGAAAGCCGTGGGAGACTGGCGACGCGAGTGCCGGAGACAGCTTGCAAAAGACGACGCCGACCGCGCGCACTTCTGCGATCGGATGAACAGCCCGCGGGATTACAACCCGACCCGGTGCAGATTCAAGTATCCAGGAACGATTTCCCTGTCATCTGCCGACAGTGGCACCAGTGCGTCGTCTACTCTAGCGCCGTTCCTGACCACGATTTGGCCCCCAGGGTTTAGTGCACCGGTTGCTCCTTCGCCGATAGAAGGAGCTAGTAGAAGTGCTGCTGCAACAACATCCTCTGTCTATACAATTTCGCAGCACAGTACCTATTACAACCACACCGGCGGAACCGCGTTGACCGATATTTTGCTGAATTTGGAGTACGAGAAAGAATTGAAGAAAACACACGACGAGGACATCCAGCAGATGTGGAGGCAGACGCAAGAATTTCGGAAATTCACGCCCGAGGGCTTCGAGGTGCAAGACTTCCCGGACCCGGAGTTGTTGCGGGACATCCGCGCGTTTTGGCAGCAAAACCGCAACAAACTCGCGAAACCTGAGAAAACCAGGTGGCTCGACGGGGCGATCCCGGCGTGCAAAACGGACATGTGGTATGCAATGTGAATTTCCTTTTCCCGTACATGTACAAAATGCATGACAAATTTCGTTAACTTGCAGTGTCCAACTTGTCATGCTAGACTAGGACTGAAGGCAAGTTTTGTTATGCAGAGACTGCATTTGTACGTGTGCGGGAAATTTTCTGTGGACATGTGGCTCGTGGAGCTCCGCCAGGACCTGAAGGACAGGCTGCAAAAGATGATGCAGTATCAAGTGCAAATTAAATTTGCTGGGTCTGGAAACTTGTGATGCATGTCAATGATTAAAAATAACCACACTGTAATGCACCGGCAAGCATGACAGATTTCCTCGCGGCTCTGTGTTGCGTATTCCGCATGATGAGAAACATCCGATGGCCCTGCGCAATACAGAGTTCAGAGTCGTGCCAAACTAGCATGAGAAGTCTCGCAGTCTTCCGGACCCAGGCATATTTGCAATGCATATGCAGCCGGTGGTGGCAAAGTGGACGGGGTTCGAGGCGAGTGAACTAGAGATGACGGCGTTGTACGGCATCCGTATGCAGTGCAAAAGTATCGTACTCGTATAAATGCATTACAAATTTCCTCAGCATGAGAAATGTAATGCTGACGTACCTCAGCGTCAGCCACAGGGAAAAGATTTGTAATGCATGATTGCAATACGAGGACGATGCTTTTGCATTTCATAACCCGACTGTACCGACAAAACTCCGAAATGCGGATGCACGGCGACCTATCCTGTGCAAAAGCATCGCACTCGTATTGCATTCATGCATATACAAATCTTTCTTTTCAAGGTAAATCAGCATTTGCAAATTTTATTTCCGACGCTGATGAAACTTGTAATTACAAAACATGAACACACTTCTTCTATCGTTCCAGTGGTGTGTTGTTCCAGTTGAGTTGTAATGCTAATGCATTTGTACGAGTGCGATACTTTTGCAGTTCATACGACCGGCGCGACACGCACGCAATCAGCGCCATTGTGGAGGTGGGCCATCTGGAGTTTGGGTTTCCGGACGATCAGTATCACGGCATGGAGGAAACGTACGACCACAGCTGGCCGTTGCAGGTGGTGACGCACAGTGGGGAAACGAAGTACGTACCCAACAAGGCGGGGCAGATCATTCTGTACGAGTCGGCAACGTTACCGCACGGGCGGCCGACACCGTTTCCGGGCCGGGAATTTGCCAACGTCTTCATCCACTACCGGCCGAAGGGGTGGCCGGAAAAATTTGAAGTCGGTGCGCGGCGGCCTGGAGGTGGTGAGAAGAACGCAAAGGCGGAGGAATTGTGAAGGGATGGTCTTTTGCACGAGTTCTTGAAGGCGACGAGTTAGTTTTTTCAGGCCGAGTTGTAAAATCAATCGCAAGACAGAGGTGACTACTACAGTGGATCTGGACTTTTCGCCGAATTCTTTGCTGAAGTGCTGGTCTTGATGATTCTTGTCTGCGTCACACATGAAGATTCCAAGAAGACAGCGAAGGAGGTTTAGTTTCCCTTGCGAAGATCGGCTCGTTGTCGTTGTGGCTACAGCCGCACGGCGTTGCGTGGCCAAGAAAAGCACAACTGTCTCCAATCAGAGCCAGCTTCTGCTGTAAAAAAGTGAGGATCGATTGTTCTAGTTGTAGTTTCGAGTGTACGTACTAGAGAGGGTTGGCTGAAAATTAGGGAATTTCTCTCCAGGGAAAAACAGTAGTGAAGAAAGCGAGATGAGTGGAAGTGGATTTGGAGCTCCCTGGGAACAAAAATGAGGTCGGTAAGTCCTCTCCTCGTGTGAGGACATGCAATGTCGGAGAGCGGAGGGTCCCGAACAAAAAGGCAATCGAAAACCGCGTTTAAAGCTTCATGAACTATGCGGACGCTTCTTGTTAGCAAACCTCGGTTCTTTTTTTCATGGAAGTTACTACATCGAGCTAAGTAGATGCGAAGCAGGACGAAGCTTATATCAACATTTTGCTCCGATATTGATATTGATCATGCTGGGGAGCGAAGATATCTGATCTCTTCTGGAAATGCGACAAGAATCGTCCAATTTTCAAGGCGACATTTTGGTATTGAGAGTGCATTCATCTCATAATGATGAATTTTGTCTTCGACACGCACACGCCATCAGAATCTATTCGGTACCTTGACCGTCTCACGCATCTTCTGTTTATTTTCGATATGGAACAAGAAATGGTAATGGTATCTTGAGCGGAACCTAAGTAACAATTTTGCCGACCTCAGACCCAGCATGCCATTGTAAATACACTGTCTCAAAATTGTCGACAGTTGGTGCTCCTACACAGAATTCTAATCGACAATTTCCCTCAATACTTGCGCCTGTTCATGTCAAGATCTTTCTATTCTGATCCCACTTAAGATTATGTCGACGTCTGTGCTATTGATTTCGCCTCCAGGTTGATCTTTGAGTGCCACATCCTCATCCGAGTTAGTGATCTATTAACGCTAAGGAAGAACGCAATTTGTCGTGATCTCTTTCATGTTTTTCCGACCGTAAATCAATATTTCATTCCGTAGACCTACTTACACACATTCTGTTGCTGTTCTAGCATTGTTACGCAAATCCAAATTTTTAATAAAAAATAAGAAACGCCTCAGAATTGTTTCTAACCCCCCCCACAGCCACACGCACATAAGAAGAAAAACAAAAAATGGAATCAGCTTTGAACCAGACCTCGTCCCGCCTCCTGGCCGCCACCTACCGCGTACCTGGGCAGTTTCGCGACGAGGTATTAAAGTTCTACAGTGAGTCGCTGGGTATGGTCGCGCAGACAACGGCGACCTTTCCGAACGGCCAAACGATCGACAATCTGTATTTCCGGAACTCGCCCCATTCCGCGCAGCTCAACTTCCGGTTTTTGCCCCCCGGGAAGCAGGTCGTGGCCCAGACTAAGGATCGTAGCCAGCAGCAAGTGAACTTCCAGCGGCCTCTGTACTGGAAGATCGGGCTGGCGGTAGACGACGTCGATGACTGTTTGAGGACCGGTTTGGGCAAGAAAAACGCGAAGGCGGAACAGTTTTTGAACGTCGGATACTTGGAGCACATCGCGGATCCGGTCGGATTTCCGATTGAGCTGCTTCAGACGAGTTTCGAAGGGAACACCGCCACGAAAAAGAAACGGATCGAGCGAGCGGAAGAGAAGCTGCAGTCGAGCGGACTTCGTGCGCGGAACCCGTTGACGCGCATGCTAGACCCGGTGATCGGGCAAGTCACCACCCGGACGAAAGATGCGAATTTGTGTGTGAAGTTTTACACCGAGGTGCTGGGCATGACTTTATTGGAGAAACAGGAAGTTTCGCCGTACAACTTCGACCTGTATTTCTTCGCGTATTTGACGGATGAGATGAAGCAAAAAGTGCCAGACTTTAGCAAGATCGGTACTATGGAGAGCAAAATCCAAGCGCAAAGGGAGTGGCTGTACCAGTTACCCGTCACGACACTGGAAATCCAGCACATGCGGAATATGGACAAAACAGCACCCGTGCTCGCCGGGCCGGATGACTTATCCCCGGAGAAGCCCGCTTTTGAATCCATTTCCATCGGCGTCTCCCCCGCGCAGTTCCGCAAGATCTCGACTTCGCCCACTTTCGACCCGGTGTTGCGATGCGTTCGGGATCCGGACGGGTTGGTGGTCCAATTGACGATTTTGGAGTCCAAGATGGGCAGTGGGCACGGGGTTGTTTCGCACGGAGTGCACGCGCACGCGGTGGCGATGACTGGGGTGGTGGACGAGGAGGAAAGGAAGAATAAGGCAAAAGCTTCTGGGACGTCGACCACCAAGTCGCCGCGACTGACTCGCACGAATTCCGGCGGCGGAGGTTCAACATCCGCTCTCGCCCGCTCGAACTCTGGTTCGCCGGCTAGTATCAAGCCTTCGAATACTACTGGTGGTTTTTCGCCGAAAGCTCGCCCCTCCGCCGCGGCCATGATGTCGACGAGTGCAACTACTGCAGGTAATTCATCATCAAACCTTCTCCCCGGCCCGTCTTCGGAAAACAAGAAGCTTCTGGACAAGTCCAACGGGCGGCAGACGTGGTCGGAGGTGCAGCGGGTGGACATCGAGCCACTGAAATCTGTGCCGAAGGGGTCCCCGCGGCCGCATTACACTCAGGCGAACAAGTTTGCGGAGAAGTTTGACAAGGAACAGTCGCATCCGACGCTGAAGTTGATCCAGTTCCCGTGTTTAAGTGACAACTACGGGTACTTGTTGTACGTTCCAGAGCAATTAGAACCTACTTCTACTTCGGGCACCACCACCACCAACAACAGCAGCCCTCCAAGGAACAACAGTCGTCGCGTGAGCCAGACCAGCCAGGCCGCGCGCGTGATCGCCATCGACTTGCCGCAGGGGCACGGCCTGGAGTACTGCCAGCGTGCAAAGGAGGAATTCGGCTCCGTCATCACGGACGTGCTGATCACCCACTGGCACTGGGATCACCTGGGCGCGTGGAACGAGATTGCGGCGGACAACTTCAAAGCGAATAACAACCACCGGCCGCGCATGTACGCGTCACGGATCGAGCTGCCGAATTTGAAAAAGTTCGCGGAGGAATCGGACTTTTCCGAGCTCTGCAAGCACGGGGAGCACCTGAACCTCGGGCCGCTGGACTTCGAGATTATCCACGTTCCGGGGCATACGTTAGGGCAGATCGGGTTCTTTTTGAAATCCTACGGGATCGTGTTC